AGTAACTTTACCATGCAGTTATTAAGTGGGCTGGTGCCCTAAGCATGGCTTTGTTTGGCTTTAGTTAGGAGGCAACGGGCTTCTCAGGTAGTGCTAGTGGGAGGGAACCTACTTGCCAAAGCAGAAGACATAAGAGACACGGGTTTGATCCCTGGGTCTGGAAGACCCCTGGAGGAGGGCATGGCAGCCCACTCCAGTATTCTTGCCTGGGGAAGCCCTTGGACAGAGGGGCCTGGAGGGCCACAGTCCGCAGGGCCACACAGAGTCAGACACGACTGAAGCGTCTTAGCACACATGCAGTGTGTCTTCCCCACTTCATACTAAGGTAGCGCTTTCCGCCACGTGCTACCCCCTTCCCCTTGTTTCTTCTTGAAGTTATTTGTTTTAACTTGATTTTGCTTGAATCAAGTTGCCGGAAATAGGGGTCAGCAATTCTCTCTTGTATTTCCCTCCAGGAGGGGACCAGGGCTTGGGCACAAGTCCCTGCTGGCCCAGTGACAGTGTGTGAGTGTGTGGTTTGCTGTGGCCTTCACCTCCACCTTTAACCAGGAACGGCCCAGTTCCCATGGCCTCCAGAAGTGAGTCTGGACCCAGATGTCTGTCCTTCAACAAGTAACCTCTAATGTCCCCTGCTGGAGATGGCACTAGTTTCACTACGAAACTAGTGACTAGTTTCCTAAGACTAGTTTCACTGTCTTTCTTTTTCTCTAGGTCTTGGGACCAAGGCCAAAGTTGTGTATTTTGTTGCAGCGCACTGTGATTCCAGATTTGCTCAAACATGTAATATAGGTCCTGGTGAATCCTGCCAGTTAAGGAGAGCTAAGAAATACCACCTTAATTATTATGTCACTGTTCACCTTTTCGTTCTTGGAAATGAATCTTGGTGTCATCTTGGAATTTATATTTTTTTCTTGACCTCCTCATGTGAAGAAAATCTTGTGTATATAAGCAGACAGCCCTCCATATTCATGGATTATCCATCCATGGATTCAACCAATCTGGGATTGAAACCACTTGGAGAAAAAATTCTATAAAGTTCCAAAAGGTAAAACTTGAATTTGGGTAGCCATTTACATAGCATTTACATAGTATTATAAGTAATAACACTAATGATAAGTAGGCATTATAGGTAATCTAGAGATGATTTAAAGTATAAGGGAGGATGCACATAGGTTACATGCAAGTACTAGTCCATTTTATATATGAGTCCTGAGCATCTGTGGATTTTGGTATCTGAGAAGTTCCTGGAACCAATCCTCCATGGATACCAAGAGATGAAAATAATCCACTCTTTCAACATGACACTTTTCAACAAGTATCCCCAACAGAAGAAAGCAGAGTATTTCCAGGGTGGCCTACCCACTCTTTTTTTTTGCTCTAGTTGCCTCCTTGCAGGGCCCAACCCCGTGGCTCTCAAGTGCATAGAGCAGGATGCCCCTGCTCTTAGGTCCCCCTGCCCCAGCCCCTCTTCAGACTTCCCAACCCAGTCTTCCTCACTAACTTGCTCACACTAGTGTCCCCTTCAGCTCAGAAGTTCTCCAATCTAAATCAGCCTTGCCCAGTGTCTCATTCTGGCAAAGTGACAATAAGTTGTTTAGTCACTCAGTCGTGTCCGACTCTTTGTGACCCCATGGACTGCAGCACACCAGGCTTCCCTGTCCTTCATTATCTCTCGGAGTTTGCTCAAACTTGTGTCCATTGAGTCAGTGATGTCATACAAGCATCTCATCCTCTGTTGTCCCCTTCTCCTCCTGCCTTTAGTCTTTCCCAGCATCAGGATCTTTTCCAAGGAGTCAGTTCTTTGCATCAGGTGGCCAAAGTATTGGACCTTCAGCTTCAGCATCAGTCCTGCCAATGAATATTCAGGACTAATTTCCTTTAGAAATGACTGGTTTGATTTCCTTGCGGTCCAAGGGACTCTCAAGATTCTTATCCAATACCAAAGTTCAAAAGCATCTATTCTTTGGTGCTCAGTTTTCTTTATGGTCCAACTCTCACATCCATACATGCCTCCTGTAAAAACCATAGCTTTGACTAAATGGACCTTTGTCAGCAAAGTAATTTTGGAAAAATAAATAATAAGTAGCACTGAGATAAAATAATCCCTGCTAATGATGCATTTGGATAACGGCTCCCCTTCATTGTTTATACATTTCTTCAACAGGATGTATAACACACACGATATGCTGCCTCCCAGAGCAGAATGATGATGTCGCTGAGGCCCTATTGAACAGCAACGGCCATGGTCAGGGAAAGACCAGAGCGTGGGAGGGCCTCCTGGTTTGGGCACTGACGGGCAGCAACCATTCTGGAAAGCTTACTCATAAAAAAGCCTGGTTTTGCCACGTTTTGATGCAACTGTGTCTAGAGATGTAAATACTGCAATGAAATAATGTAGGAATTAAATACAGCACTTAGGTAAAACATTTGACTTTCTATTCAGTTCCCAAAACCAAACAGCTGCTCTGCTACTTGCTATGTTTTCATGCCTTCCTGCAGTGCAGATGCTTCCACTCAGAACCGTGACCTTGCATCCTTCTCCGCTGAGCCACGAGCACTGTCACCCTGTGCTGTACATGAGCAGGAGTACGTCCTCCTTCCACCTGGTAGCGCTCTCCTTCAAAGGCACAGCCGATCTCATTCATTATTGAAATAAGTTGATGGGATGCAGTGGTTTCAATCCTACATTCCGGTGCCAGAGTGCCAGGTTCCATCTCGTTCCCCACCTCACAGCTGGGTGACCCAGCCTCCTGCATAAAATGAGGATTGTGATACGGCCTACCACCCTCAAGGAGTGTCAAATATTTCATGAGTTATTTCAGGAAAAGGGCTCAGAGATGTTTCTGGAAAGGGTGTTATGCACCACGTTAGCTTTATGATCACTGCCAGCACACAGCAGGGGCAGGGGTACTGTGCATCCAGAGATGAGTTCTTCCTAGTGCATCTGCTAAAGCACAAACTCAAACCTACTCTGAAGATGCTCTCTTTCTTCTCTGCACTGCTATAAACCCTGCTATACTTGGGAAAATGTATCAACCTTCAAAGCCCTCCCATATAGATATGAAGATGTTTCATAATAAGACAAATGCAGCTTTTCATGAACAACAAAATATGGGAAATACCCAACTTAATTTAAATCCAAGTGAAATCTCTGTGAGCTACTGGAAACTCCCTCATCTTCTTACATTCTAATGTAGAAGGTCAGATTTCTGTGAGCCATGTTTGGGGAGGCCAGCCCAGCCCACACATGGCTCTCAGAGAGGCTGCCCAGAGCTTTACCCCTGCCTGGGCAAGATGGATGTGGAGAAGTCTCAGCATGAAATCCTGAGTCGTGAATGATCTGGTGTGCATGTTGGGGGTGCGGAGAGACAGAAAGGTGAGGGCTCTTTTGGCCAAGTTGCTCTGGATTCTTTCAACACAACTTTCATCCTCTTTGTGGTCTCCTCCAACACTGCTCAAGATATGAGAGCAAAATGCAATCAAATCCAGGTCCCAGGCAGCCCTTCCCATAAATGGTTTTGTTTTTCAACTTGATGGAAACTTAACAAGCTAAGGATTCCCCAGCCCATCCAGAACTGAAATCTCTAGTACTTGAGATTAAAAAGCTTGCTCTAAAATAAACAAATATTAATTTCTTTATCTTTTACTCTTCTTTCTGACCCATCTCCTCCTCGTCTCTTCCTGTCCCCACCGTTTTCATTTTCAGGGAAAAAAAAAAAAGAGAATTTTTGATCCTGTTTACAACGTTTAAGCTTGCTTAATCAAAGGATAAGATGGCTTTGAAAGTCCTGCTTTGGTCCTTTAATATTGAGAAATGAACTGTGGCACCATTTCATCCTCATTCAGTGTACTTTTAAGGTGCAGATGTCCACCACCAAAGGCTTTCCCAATAGCTCAGCAGTAAAGACTGCCTGCGGTGCAGGTGATGCAGGAGATGCAGGCTTGATCCCAGGGTCGGGAAGACCCCCTGAAGGAGGAACTGGCAAGGCACTCCAGTATTCTTGTCTGGAAAAACCCCATGGACAGAGGAGCCCGGAGGACTACAGTCTGAAGTGTCGCTAAGAGTCATACACGACTGAACATATGTGCATCCACACCAAAGCGCATCACATGTAGGCGCAAACAGACCCATCAGCGTTGCAAAATAGCAGGTACCATGGACAATGGGGCAATGAACCATTTCCCCATGTGGAAAGAAAAAAAGTGGAAGTGTTAGTCATTTAGTCATGTCTGACTCTCTGTGACCCCATGGGCTGTAGCCCACCAGGCTTCTTTGTTGATGGAGTTCTCCAAGCAAGAATACTGGAGTGGGCAGCCATTCCTTTCTCCAGGGGATCTTTCTGACCCAGGGATTGAAAGCAATCTCCTGCAATGCAGGTCTGAACCACCAGGGAAGCTCATATGGAAAGAAAAAGAAAATGCCCAGTAAAACCCAAGCAAAGAACCCCAAATAGCTCCACCTCCCTTTCATCAGTCTTGCGCAGGGCCACTTAACCCAGGGCAGGACTAACTACTCAGTGCCAGGTGCCCTGTAGACATGCCAGGCTGATAGGTCTCCCACTCTCTCTGTGGGAGGACGAGTTCATAAAACATCCTTGCCTGGTGCAGATTTGAATCTCATTTCTGGAGCTGTACCTAAAGACGGCAGCCTTTGTCTGTGGGGAAAAATAAAAAAAAACAAATCACACTGAAAAGTGGGAAAAGAGTCTGGGTGATCAATGCCTTCCTCAACTGAAAAATACTAAGAAGTCACCTGGAGTTGCAGCTGATACTCACTAAGTACAGCAAGTCCTAAGTATCACTAAGTACATGATAGCTATCTTTTGATGGTTTTCAAACTGGTCATTGTAAAATTCTATTTTCCAGGTTTACTCTTACTTTGACCCTTCCTGTATGAAAGAGCGGTTGGTCTGGTTACATTGGGAGTGGGGGTCCAGAGTGCTGTGGGTGTGGCGTCTTCCTCGGCTGCTCCCACACAGACCCCCTCCTTCCTGCATCTTTGAGCCACGAGCTCCTCAAAATGTGGAACATCCTGAGAAACACTGAACACATACTGCCTCTGATTTTACAAGAGGACACTGAGGCTGGAGGATGAACCGAGCGGCCAAGGTCGTGGTGCCGGTGCTGCTGGGACAATCAGCAACCAGCCACCATTTGGAGAGCACATGCTCACTTTCCTCGACAGGAAGTGAACATTTAAACTACTTTGACCAAGAATGTAAAGCCAGGGATTGAAATAACCCACTTAGAGCCAGCAGAGCCTTTCAGGGCTTTCTCTTTTTCCCATGTAGTCAATATTTTGGATTCTGCAAACAAAAATATTCTGGAACAGGAGATCTGGTTTGATTGACACAACTGTGCTGGTAATAGGAGAACTTGGAGAGCTGAGTTCCTCACCATCCTCCCCTCCATGCATCTCTTCCAGGCCTTCGACCAGCTTCCGAGAGAGAGCCGTGGGTCAGCAGTAGGAGGATCAGGACCGCTCCAGTCAAACAGGGAGCCCTGGAGCCTGCCTCCCAGGGTCGGGGAGAGACAAGCTGGCAGAGCCTGTGTGTGCATGATGTGTAAGTAGCATGAGTTTTCCTTCTACTAAAAAATAATACAGTTCATAAGGAACACTCATAAAATGCAATAAACATAAAAAAGGAAAGGTCACCATAGAGAAGCTCTAAGGATCTGCCCTCCATTTCACCAAAATATGATCATACAGCCTTTAACCCCCTTTTATTTTTTGTGATACATAAGTCTTTGCATGTTTCCCTGTAATGAATTCCTAGAGGTGGAATTGATGATTAATAAGATGAACACTTTAAACAGTATTAAAATACAGTATTAAAACAAAATAAACAGTATTATCGAACTGCTTTTCAAAAATTCTCAAAACTTCCCTGAGAACTGCACAATTCTTTACACCTTTCATCACGTGGCTGATCCAGGTCAGAAAAGGTGTCAAGGATCCGCGGGCCAAGCAGAAATATGGGAAGGACTAAGCTAAGGACTGTGTCTTTAGGGAATGGCATGTTGCATTCAAATTGTACTTTTATCTTACTAAGAGAATTTCTACAGATGTGCTGTGTGTCAGTTTTCAAAAATGAACACAGGAAAGCAAAAAAAGCAAAGAACAAAAAACGAAGAGTGCCTGTTGTCTTCCTTGTATCTCCAGAAGGAACATCAGGCAGAGGATCCGCAAGGCTGCAACCTGGTTTGACCTTGTGTCACTGCATCATGACGTCACTGCACCTCTGGGTGGGGCGTGTTGATGCCACAGCGCCTCCCGAAGCTCCGTGCTCACCCCCTCAGTGCAGAAGGTGCAGGAGGGGGCAGGGGCACAGACCGCCTCTTCACTTCTTCCCAGCAGGAGGGATGGCACCGCGAAGCAGGGGCGGCCGAGGCTGGCCTGTCTGCCCCCTCACTGGCCTCCAGGAGCCTCTTTTGTGTGATCCGAGCCCTGGCTGATTGGCAGCAAGGTGAGGGTGGTAGATTTCCTGTGTCTCTGACTCTCCGTCCACAGTGGTCGCCCATCAAGGAAGGGAACCAAAAAGACCAAGAAAGCTGCGTGGCACCATCTTTTCTGGCTCTGCCTTCCATGGTGCTTTCTTTCCCTCTCTCCTGGTCTTCTACCTCTCCCTTCAGCCCCTGTGAGGATGAGGCGAGGCAGGGAATCTGTGGGTGGTAGAGGAGGCACTGAATGGGGTGTGTAACGGTTGTCCCCTGTGTCTGCTCTAGACTCACGGAGAGCTGACCCACGAGCTCAACAGATTGCCCTGGACTCTGTTCAGGGAAGACGCACTTGAGGTTGGGACTTCCCGAATGTCCCTCAGTCTCTTTACACCTGGCCTTTCTCTCTGCCCTTCAGCTCCCCTCAACCTTCCCCTCCATCCTCTGCAGACAGGATGTTACCCATGGGGTCCACCCTTCTCTTGCCGGGACCCTAGCTTCTTTGCCTCAGCGTGCTCAGGCTCTCCAGCCAGGACTTGCTCACACCAGTTTTTTCCACGCTTGTAACTGGACTGCTGACAGCTGGAGAAAGCCACACAGGCCTGTAGATAGACGGGCACCCCTCCAGACCAGTCACCCTGCACCACAGCCGGGCACTTAGAGCCTGCAGAAGCCTGCTGTCTGCTGCTATTTCCCACTCTCCACAGAAGGACTTCCAAAACTTCTCCCTGTCCTGCAACAGTTGCCACTTACTGTACCACCCAACCTGCCCAAGGCACACATGCTTGTTTGTCAAGTGCCAACTGATCCCCCTCCAAGATTTCTGAAAGAATTAAGCACAATTATCGAATAGGAAATCCATTATTTTGAAGAGCTGACTCAAAATGGGGTGAGGGAAGGGATGTGACAAAGAGGAGAATGTAGCGAAGGGGCCTTCCTCTGGAAGGAAGGGAGACAAGTGTCGATTCCCCAACTTCTCAGGCTTCCTTTTAAAGCCTTCTTCCATCAGGTCTCGCCCATCATGGTCAAGGGCTCCAGAGGAGATGGTGCAGATGGCCCCCTTCCCCACGGCCGGGCGGTGACAAGATTCTGGAGAGCAAACCCACTGGGTGTGTCTCTGTTATTCCGTAGGTGCTCCTTTAGATTCAAGATGACTGTGGTCAGGCAGTTTTCCACTGAGATTTGATTAATAATTTTTTTTCTGGGCTGTGTTCCCTGGGACATATTGAGGTTCGTGTTCAGTGGCTAGCTTTTTTCAGGCTTTTCATTTCTATCCAGTTCTCTCAGCTTTGGACATAGCACATAGCCACAGAAATGTGCACAGAGAATTCAGCGCACAAGAAATTTACATTTGACTCCTTGAACAGAAAGTCTCTGTATGTCCAGGGAGCTGGGGAGCAGAGGCCTCTTTCCACTCCTCAGGGGATGACCAGTCGCATGAGTCGGGCTCTGTCCTCTGTTGGTGGAAGGCCACCTTAACTTGCCAGAAAGGGGCAGCGGAGCAGGCTAGCGGGTATCCACTGCGAGGTTGAGGACCACGTGCATTCACTGAGAGCAGGGTGGGGCCCTGCCAGTCTGTTCGGACATGCTGCCAGCTGGCAGCAGGACTGAGTCCTCCCCCAGGAGAGCCGGAGAGCACGGAAGGCTGGCCTGGGCCCTGGCCTGGTGAGTGAGCAGAAGCTTTTGATGTATGGAATATCTAGTGAACACTGGCCAGGACAGCCCGGCTTCCCTCAACCTTCCCCTCCATCCTCTGCAGACAGGATGTTACCCATGGGGTCCACCCTTCTCTTGCCGGGACCCTAGCTTCTTTGCCTCAGCGTGCTCAGGCTCTCCAGCCGGGACTTGCTCACACCAGTTTTTTCCACGCTTGTAACTGGACTGCTGACAGCTGGAGAAAGCCACACAGGCCTGTAGATAGACGGGCACCCCTCCAGACCAGTCACCCTGCACCACAGCCGGGCACTTAGAGCCTGCAGAAGCCTGCTGTCTGCTGCTATTTCCCACTCTCCACAGAAGGACTTCCAAAACTTCTCCCTGTCCTGCAACAGTTGCCACTTACTGTACCACCCAACCTGCCCAAGGCACACATGCTTGTTTGTCAAGTGCCAACTGATCCCCCTCCAAGATTTCTGAAAGAATTAAGCACAATTATCGAATAGGAAATCCATTATTTTGAAGAGCTGACTCAAAATGGGGTGAGGGAAGGGATGTGACAAAGAGGAGAATGTAGCGAAGGGGCCTTCCTCTGGAAGGAAGGGAGACAAGTGTCGATTCCCCAACTTCTCAGGCTTCCTTTTAAAGCCTTCTTCCATCAGGTCTCGCCCATCATGGTCAAGGGCTCCAGAGGAGATGGTGCAGATGGCCCCCTTCCCCACGGCCGGGCGGTGACAAGATTCTGGAGAGCAAACCCACTGGGTGTGTCTCTGTTATTCCGTAGGTGCTCCTTTAGATTCAAGATGACTGTGGTCAGGCAGTTTTCCACTGAGATTTGATTAATAATTTTTTTTCTGGGCTGTGTTCCCTGGGACATATTGAGGTTCGTGTTCAGTGGCTAGCTTTTTTCAGGCTTTTCATTTCTATCCAGTTCTCTCAGCTTTGGACATAGCACATAGCCACAGAAATGTGCACAGAGAATTCAGCGCACAAGAAATTTACATTTGACTCCTTGAACAGAAAGTCTCTGTATGTCCAGGGAGCTGGGGAGCAGAGGCCTCTTTCCACTCCTCAGGGGATGACCAGTCGCATGAGTCGGGCTCTGTCCTCTGTTGGTGGAAGGCCACCTTAACTTGCCAGAAAGGGGCAGCGGAGCAGGCTAGCGGGTATCCACTGCGAGGTTGAGGACCACGTGCATTCACTGAGAGCAGGGTGGGGCCCTGCCAGTCTGTTCGGACATGCTGCCAGCTGGCAGCAGGACTGAGTCCTCCCCCAGGAGAGCCGGAGAGCACGGAAGGCTGGCCTGGGCCCTGGCCTGGTGAGTGAGCAGAAGCTTTTGATGTATGGAATATCTAGTGAACACTGGCCAGGACAGCCCGGCTCCTCACAATTCCCTTCCCAGTTTTCTGCCGGGGACTTAAATTTTTTCTAAGGGAAAACTTCGCATTTGTTTTTGGTACCTTTAGTGTGTATGTTTGTCTTTGCTCTTGGTGCTAAGCCTCTGTGATTATCTATAGGAACTGGCAGAAGCAGTCTCTTCTTTTCTCACTTTGAGTGTTTGACCTTGTGGCCTTGTGTTCTTGTGAAACCTCTGCTGTGTAATCTCATCAGTTTCCTTCCTGTACAATCCTCCTGATTTCCCTTGGACTATCCCATGGGCATTTTTATGTCAGCAGACTGGAATGTTTCTCTCGTCCCTGGGAAAAGCTCCTCTGGTCTTAGTGAATTCAGAAGTGGAGGAATTCATAAGATTTAGGGAGTCTGCCTCAAATTGCCTCCTAGTATAACTTCCCACAAGGACTGGAGAAAGGTTAGAACATTCCCCTGCCGTGTCTGGGGATGGAGAGGGGCAGGTTCCCTTTTCCTGCCAAAGTCACGAAGAGCCAGCTGGGGCCACAAGCGCACTTGCCGCAGTCACGGGCCCAAGCAGAAGCAGCGATACTAAGGCCTACACAGTGGCACCTCCTACTCGCCTGTGTTGGACCACTCTTCCTCGTAAGACCGAGCAAAGGAGGAGCTGACAGATGAGGAAACCGAGCCTGGGAAAAGTCAGCCATTTCCTTAAAACGACACATTGCAGTAGATGGCAGAGAGAGGGTAACAGTTAGTCTTGTTTTATTTTGAGCTTAGTGGTCCTGTAAGGTTGTATCAGGTTACAAGGAAGATAAATGCCTCTTGGGAACCTTGCAACATCCAGGCCTAGCCAGTCTTTAAGGCTGATTTTATCCAAAGCAGACAAATTCTTCATCTGATTTGAGGTGGTGTCAGGAAGCTCCTGGAGAAGGAAATGGCAACCCACTCCAGTGTTCTTGCCTGGAGAATCCTGGGGACAGGAGAGCCTGGTGGGCTGCCGTCTATGGGGTCGCACAGAGTCAGACACGACTGAAGTGACTTAGCAGCAGGAGCAGCAGGAAGCTCCAGTATTACATGCATGAAGTTCAGTCATTATAACCATTTTTTCATTTGATGG